TTTTTTCTCCCTCCGCCTATGGCTAACGTGCAATTGGAGTTGCAGCTAGCAAGGGGCATGAAGAGTAACAAGAAAGGTTTTTACAAGTAGGTTAGCAACAAGAGAAAGGTCAGGGAAAGTATGGATTCTTTACTGAATGGGGGGGGCAATGTAGTGACAGAGGATGAGAAAAAGGCTAAATTACTCAATGGCTTTTTTACCTAGTCTTCACAGTCAAGGTCAGCTCCTGGACTACTGCAGTAGGCAGCACAGTTTGGGGAGAAGGTGAACAGCCCTCATTGGTAAAAGAACAGGTTAGGGACTGTTTAGAAAATCTGGATGTGTACAAGCTCATGGGGCCAGATACAATGCATCTGAGGGTGCTGAGGGAGCTGGCTGATGTGATTGTAGAGCCAGTGTCCATTATCTTTGAAAACTCATGGTAATTAGGGGAGGCTCCAGCTGATTGGAAAAGGGCAACTATACTGCCCATCATTAAGAAAGAGAAGGAGGATCTAGGGAATGACAGACCAGTCAGCTTCACCTCAGTCCCCAGGAAAATCATGGAACAGGTCTTCAAAACTGTATTTCTAAGCACTTGAAGGAGGAGAAGGTGATTAGGAACAGTCAGCGTGGCTTCACCAAGGGCAAATCATGCCTGATTAACCTGATTGCCTTCTTGGATGAGATGACTGGCTCTGTGGATGCAGAGAGAGCAGTGGATGTAATGCACTTTGACTTAGGAAGGCATTTGATATGGTCTCCCACAGCATTCTTACAAGCAAGCTGAGGAAGTATGGGTTGGATAAATGAACTATAAGGTGGATAGAAAGCTGGCTGGAGTGTTGGGCTCAATGGGTAGTAATCAATGCCTCAATGTCTAGCTGGTAGCTAGTATCAAGTGGAGTATTCAATATCTTCATTAATGATTTGGAAGATGGGCTGGATAGCACCCTCAGCAAGTTCATGGATGACACCAAGCTGGTGGGTGTAGTAGATACACTGGAGGCTAGGCCTAGGATTCAGAGTGACCTAGATAAATTGGAGGATTGGGCCAAAAGAAATGTCATGAGGTTCAACAAGGACCTGCACTTAGGATGGAGGAATCCCATGCACTGCTACAGCCTGAGGACCGACTAAGCAACAGCTCTGCAGAAAATAACCTGGGGGTTACAGTGGACAATAAGATGGAAATGAATCAGCAGTGTGTCCTTGTTGCCAAGAAGGCTAATGGCAATACTGGGCTGTATTAGTAGGAGCATTGTCAGAAGATCAAGGGAAGTGACTTTTCCTCCGTATTCTGCACTGGTGAGGCTACATCTGGAGTGCTGTGTCCAGTTTTGGGCCCCTTGCTATAGAAAGGATGTGAACAAGTTGGAGAGAGTCCAGTAGAAAGCAACAAAAATGGTAAGGGGACTGGGACAGAAATGAGGAGAGGCTGAGGGAACTGGGTTTATTTAGTCTGCAGAAGAGAAGACTGGGGGGAATTTGATAGCAGCCTTTAACTATCTGAAGGGTGGTTCCAAAGGGGATGGAGCTAAAATGTTCTCAGTGGTGGCAGATGACAGAACAAGGAGTAATGGTCTCAAGTTGCAGCAAGGGAGGTTTAGTTTGGATATTAGGAAAACTTTCTCACTAGGATAGTGGTGAAGCACTAGAACAGGTTACTTAGAGATGTGGTGGAATCTTCATCCTCAGAGGTTTTTACAGCCTGGCTTGACAAAGACTGGCTTGAATGATCTAATTGGGGATGGTTCTGTTTTGAGCAGGGGATTGGACTAAATGACTTCCTGAGAACCCTTCCAACCCTAATTTTCTATGATTCTGTCATTCTGTGACCAGGATATGCAGGTTAATTTACTTTGGCCAAAATAACCCACATAAGAATGATTATGGCTTGCCTTTAACTGGTTCATGGGACATTACAGCAGCAAGGAGTTCAGCATGCTTTTAGAAGTGTACACATGACATATAATGCATTACTGAATTTTCTGATAAGATATCATGCTTACTTGCATACCACACACCTTTCTTTTTCAAATAATGAACCCCCAAAATTAAGATACTTGTCTTAAGAGGAAAACTGATTTTCTGCTTGAAATAGAAACATTCTGCCTTGGAGTGCTGACACAAGTGCATGCAGTCTGTCAGAGTAACTCATGGTGATTTACACAAAGCCTATTGGGTGTGTGGCGGCTCTGAGCCTGCCTGCATTGTCCTTGACCAGCAGGTGGGAGCACTCTAGCAGCCTCCCAGGAAGCTGTCAGCCTGCCACTCTCCCCAACCACCACACTCTTCCCTGCAAACTGGCAACTGTTGCCATCTTGCATGGGGGTGGGGGGTGGGGAAGGGGGGAATAGGAAGGACAGGTCTTGGAGGGAGCCAAGCTGGGTCCATGAGCCAGCAGGTGCCTTCCTTCCCACCTGTCCCCTGCATGAGTGTTTTGACAGCAAGCAAAGACTGCTGTGGCTGGAGCTAGGGTGTGGGGAAAATGGAGTCCCCCTGCCTCACAGGCTTGGCCCAGCTCCCCACAAAACCCCAGCAGGGGTAGTTGGGTTGGGCCCATGCAGCAGGGGTGCTCCATTTCATCAGCTGTGGGCAAAGCAGTCTCTGCCACTGTCAGCTCACTCACACAGGTGGTGGGGGTGGGAAAAGGGAGCCCCCCTCCCGCCTCATGTGCCTGCCTCCCAAGCTACTCCTGTTGGGGTCTTCAGGGTCCTGGGCTGGACCTGCGAGGTGGCGGGGTCCTACTTTCCCTCCCCTACCGCTTGCATGAGTTGGCGTGGAGGGTGAAATGGAGCCTCCCCAGCTCATGGGCCTGGCCTGGCTCCCTCCAAGACTTCAACAGGCCCATAAGGCAGAGGGGCTCTGTTTCTGCCCCCTCTCCACCCTTCCTCCCTGCTTCCTCTGCCACAGCCTTAGCTCTGGCAGCAACAGCCATGATGCTGCCATTGCCAAGAACCTTGGGTGGGGAAATTATTAACCCTCGCAGGGCACGTGTACACTTGTTCCCTGAAGGTGCTCTGTCTTAGAGCATCCTTACCTTATACATCATCAGATAAGGGTTTGGGGTTGTGTTTTTTGGGGGGTTTCTTTGCACGATTGGCCATTTTAAAAGCACTCTTGAGGTGTGAATATTTGTTACTTTATATCTATAGTGTGTTTTCAGGGGCCTCTGAAAAGTGTAACTACTGTAAGCACCCTTACTTTCTATTCCACAGAGAACATTTGCATTACTCAGGCAGCTGACTGAGTCAATTGATTCAAACATCATTGGTCTTCACTTCACAGGTGCTAACAATAATTTATAATTGCCCATTTATAAATACATGGTGCATCCACACCTTGAATTCTGTGCCCAGTTCTGATCCCCACACCTCAAAAAGGATAAAGAAGAACTAGAGAAGATACAGAGAAGGGCAACAAGAATGATTAATTGTATGGAGGGGCTTCCATATGAGGAGAGACTAAAGAGGCTAAATCTATTCAGTTTAGAAAAGAGACGCTTGAGGGGGGACATGATAGGGGTTTAAAAAATATTAAATGTTAAAATAAAAGTAAATAGGGTTTTATTGTTAACCATCTCTCACAATACAGGAACTAGGGGGTCACACAGGCATTTTTACACATTGCAGTGCCGAGTGCTTTGAAAAGCATCTGGCATTGCAATATTTGTAGCTGTATAAACAATGAAATGTGCATCAGTGCTGAGAAAATGGCAGCGATGCACTTTTGAACTAAAACACCTAGATGGTGCTTTAGTTCAGAAGCATGCTGCCACCATTTTTGTGTGCTAACACGCATTTCACCACTTATACAACTGTATGCAGCACAGTGAAGTCCACATCAACTCATTTGCAGAGCAGACTCAATTAATTGTGTGTGCTTAAAGCAGCAGATCTTTGGCAGATCACAGAACAAAAAAGTCTGTGTATATAAATGCCCAAAGTGATACTATTAGGTAGTAAGTTTAAAACTAACTAAAGTAATTTCTTTTACGTAGCATGTAATTAAAGTATGAAACTTGCTGCCACCAGATGTTGTGGACGTTGACAGTTTAGTCCGATTCAGAAAGGGATTGGACAGATTTTTTGGAGGGAAGGTGCATCAGTTGCTATTGAGCGTGGGAATTAAGGATATAGCTCAGAATTAAAACTTCAAATACCTTAAATAATGGAGCCTGCAAGTGAGAGAAGAACAATGAAAAAAATCCTGGTTGTACAATATTCACTACCCCTTTCATCATTCACACTCTGCCCCTATTTGACACAGGAGACTAGGGAAGATGGACCTATGGTCTGACCCAATAAATTCCAATTCTTATGTAATTTTAAGTAATGTATGTAACTCTCTCCCTTTTCATGCTTTTCCTGCTCCACTATTCAAGGGCAATTTTGCTGTCTGCTAGCTGTTCTTCATTTTTCTTTTCCTGTTTCACAGCCTTGAGACTCTTTCATTCTTTTTATAATCATAGATCTACCCATGGAGAACAGTCTGTAGCACCAGCTAGGGTTTTGGCTTTTAGTTAAGCTCAAAAGGAAGGGTGAGTCAACTGAAGACTAGGCTCTGAACCTGCTCTATGCAGCCATAACTCTGGAAAAAAATATTTTTTTCATCATGCTCCCTTCCCAAAACAAGGTGCATGTCTTATTGTGAGTGTTATATGCAAGAAAGTATGGTTTAAGCTTATATCACGTATATCATGTTTCATGATATTATTGTATCTATATTTTACAGCTACACTCCAATTCCGACAAAGGTGATGGATCAGTCAAGTACATCCTTACTGGAGAAGGGGCTGGAACTATATTTATTATTGATGACACTACAGGAGACATTCATTCAACCAAAAGCCTGGATCGAGAGCAGAAAACACACTATGTGCTGCATGCCCAGGCTATCGACAGACGAACAAACAAGCCTCTTGAGCCTGAATCTGAATTCATTATCAAAGTGCAGGACATCAATGACAATGCACCCAGATTTACAGATGGACCATACATTGTTACTGTGCCAGAGATGTCTGAAATGGGTAAGGGAAAGAAGTCATTCTACTTAGCTAGCTTTTAATGATGGACTCTGCTATTTCCTTTTTTGACAGAGTGCTTACTACTTTTATTTTCTTCTTTATTAGCAGTAGTTAGATGTAAAGGTTAACAAATCTAGAAGGTGCTAATAACAACAAAGTTTCAATATTTCAAACTGAGACCAAATACTACACAGTCATTTAATCTACCTGTCCATGATGCACATATATAATACACTGGGGGTGCGTCTAGATCAAGGCCCACACATGCTTGGACAGTAGTATGCTTGGATGCTTACTGGACAGTAGTAACTAGCTACTGTGCAGTATGTGTCTCATCACTACTACACAGTAGCTCATTACTACTGCAGAGTAGTGTCGCCAGGCATGAACTGTGATGTGGTGCTACCGCACCGTAAAAATGAGCTACTGCGCAGAAAGCATCACCAGGCAACTGTGCCATGACAGTATTGTGCAGTAATGCTGGTTACTGTGCAGTCATTTAGTACTTGGTTATGCAAGTACTAAATGACTGCTCAGTAACAACTGCACAGTGGACATGTCATACAGATGTGCCCTGTAAGTACTAGCTGAAGATTAATACATTGTTGTTGTTATGCCCTGCATCTTTGTTGGGCTACTGTACTTCATTTCCAGAGTCATTTTTCTGTTGTAATAATTTATTCCAGGAGTTTCCAAATGCTATAAACCAAAAGACCACTGTTCACCTTTCAGTATTTCCTCCCATGGCTTTGCAGATCTGGTGTGGTTTCCAGATGGGAGTTGTAATCGGTATGCTGTGTAATTAAATGAAAAAATAAAACTAGCACAAGGAAAAAGTAACTCTCCAGTTTCTTTTAGGCCATGACCTTTTTGAATTCTTTCTCTTTCTTTATCTTTTCTCTCTCTTTCTTCTTTCTCTCTCTCTTTCTCTAGTGAAGCAAGCTCATCTTTGTAGCATCCTATGAAAATTTCATATTGGCTAGGGACAGAAGTTGCACACAAATTGGTTTAAGAGATCAGAAACTGGTTTAAACTTGTAACATAACAGATGTTCAGTGCACTTAAACTACTTTCAAAATGACCAAAACTGGTTTAAGATAAACCTGTTTGGATGTAGTATCAGACACAACTGATTTAAGTCAAACCAGTTTATGGAACTTCTGTCCCATATTCCCTCCTGGTGCAAGTTTTGGGCCCCCACTACAGAAAATATGTGGACAAATTGGAGAGAGTCCAGTGGAGGGCAACAAAAATGGTGAGGGGGCTGGGGGACATGACATCTGAGGAAAGACTGATGGAATTGGGCTTATTTAAGGGCTGTGCAAAATGATCCCATTCAGTTTCAAATGGCATTTTGATGGAACAGTGTTTCATGTTGAATTTCATTTTGATTTGAAACTGCTGTTCCGTTTCGTCTCGTCAAAACAACAGTTTTGCTGTTTTGACACTGTTTCACCGTTTCGCCCATAGACTATAATGGGAAAGCTTGAAACAGCCTATAACTTTGTCATTTCTGGCCAGATTTGGATAAAACATGCAGGAATGTTAGCCCCTTCTGAGGGCATGAAGTCTTGCCAAGTTTCAAGGAGATAGGTGCAGGGGTTTCAGGGAATCTGCACCTCAAAGTCTTGAAAGCAAAAAGTCATGTCACACATATGTGTTAAGCCACAGCGGGGTCAAAACTGCAGGCTTGCTAGCCCGTGCTGAGACCACGAAGCCTGCCAACTTTCAAGGAGATAGGTACAGGGGCTTCTGGGTTCTGGGACCCTGCACCTCTGGCTGCTGACAGGCAAAACTGGTGACACGGGTGCTTGTGAGACTGTCTGTCTTGGGGCACAGGGGGGTGAAACCCATGTCACAAGTTTTGTCTGTCAGCAGCCAGAGGTGCAGGGCCCCAAAACCCAGAAGCCCCTGTACCTATCTCCTTGAAAGCTGGTAGGCTTTGTGGTCTCAGCAGGGGCTAGCAAGCCTGCAGTTTTGACCCCGCTGTGGCTTAACACATACACGTGACATGAGTTTTTAGCTTTTAAGCCCCGCTTCCAGGTGGGAGTAAAGACCCCAGTTCCAGCTTACCCTCCTCCCCTCCCAGGCTGCTCCCAGCTGGGGATGTGGTGCTGGGTCGGAGGGGTCAGTTTTTCCTCCCCCACCCCTTGCTCTTCTGACAGGGAGGCCGTGGAGAGGGCATGGCTAGGGTAATTACTGGCTCTCTGCAGTGACCAGCAGGCTATTAGTATGGGACGCCTTTCCTATTTGAAATTCGTTCAATCTATGCAGTTTAAAAAAAAAAACCTGTAAAGATTGAATTCGCTCAGCCTCCGGCTTTTTGACCGTCTGTACTTAGACACTGTGTATGTTATCTGCTGGTAGATCAGTGCTTTATTTAAAGCATCAGCAACGTGTAACCAGTTCCCTTACCTTATGGTTTCCTCAGTAATATACTTAAATTAGAACTCATCTTTATATTCTTAGCACCAGGCATACTTAAATCATGCAAGAAAGACAGATTCAAAAACATTTTTCAGAAAGCTCAGCAAAGAGAGACAGTTTTCCTTTTGAAGTCTGTCTTCTATGTTGTATCACTAATGGGTGAGTGAAGAAGTACCCACACTACATTTGAAAGAGAATAGCTGGAAGCCCCAAACAAATACATGTCTTCCAAGTGAATTTACATAAAACACATAATTTCACTTCTTATGTTTCTATCTCCAGTTGACAGGTGCCTGACTGATCTTGTACAATGTAGAGTGTTTATAAATATTAAAGGGAAAAAATATCAAAATTAAGTGAGTTGCTGGCCTCTCATACTCATACATATAATCACAGTAGTCATTTTTCTAGGAAAGAAAGACTTGCTGTGACTGAATCCAGGTGGTTATCACTCAGGCACACCTGAATGTGCTGGGAGCCCAGATGATGTAGTGGGGTGAGTGAGGTCTGTTATATTCTAAGCTTACTATGAGTGATCCAGGTCCAGAGAGAAGCAAGTAGATACTGATGTGGTTATAAAGAGACTTCTCCCCATCTCCCTTCACCACCCCTAACACAATCGTCTACCCCCAGCAAAATAATAAAAGCAAGAATGCTGTGTAAAACCACAGATTTTCACATTTTCCCTCATCACAATTACTGGTAAAATGTATTGTATACACAAGGAATGTACATGTTGGTGATACCGTTTTATATGGGAGCAAAGTCTAGTTAATTCTCTTCCTGAAATCACCAACAACAATATCCAGGATCTTAGCAACTGGCAATGTCAGTACGATTCCATTCCCCCCCCTCTTTTACAATGGTGTAAAACAGCAGTTGTTCCAGTGACATCAGTGGATTTACACCACTGTGTGAGAGAAGAAAATCAGTCCCATCTATCCTTCCAGACCCTTTTTTTTTTTAAGTGAAAACTTTCCCATCAAAATAGTCATAATTTAGACAGGATCTAAATTTGTTCACTCCACCTTTTTTGTCCTCTCTGGCTTCAATGCCCTCTGCTTCATTCTCTCTTCCTACCCCATCTGTCATCCCTTCTTACTTATGGAAATAATCCCTTCTTTTTCTTCTTGTTTTTCTTATTCTGCTTTCTTGATTATTCCCTCTTGTCTAGAGTCTCCTTCACAGATACAATATTTCACAGAGTATCTGCCTCAGAATCTTTAATCATCTCACCCCTCTCTTTCCAGATTTTAATTTCATCAGAGGTCTTTATGCTTTTTCTTTCCCATCTATCTAAAAGTCCATCCCTCCCTTCTCTCCAAGGGATGTCATACCAATATCTTCTCCACAATCTCTCTCCCCATTAGCAAGTCTTTTGCTTAAACCCTTATCTTGATGTTCTGCCTTTCTCAAATGCTCTTGCTGCCGTTTTGGCGCTCTTAAACTTTTGGTCTCCCTTTCCACTTCTCCCTATGGCTCTGTGTCTTGGTATTGTGAATTTTCCTCTAAACACTCATTTCTCTACACTGGAAATCCCCTCCTTTCTCATCTCAGCTTTTTCCTTTGCAGCCATTATCTTTCACTCCTCTGTTTTCAGCTCCCACATCCTCTCAAGAACCTGTACCTGTTCCAGGCTCCCTCTAAATCCTCTCTATCCACTCTACCTTTTTTATAAGCCACTTTACCTGGCCTGTGTTTTGGACCAAGTGTTGTTTTTTGTTTGGTTTTTCTTTTTCTTTTTTTTTTTCTTTTAGGAGACTGAGGAGATCATTTCTTATTGGTCTGATATTATTTAAAATTAAGGTTGCAATACTAGTTTGCTTGCTATAACCTATGACTGTATGGATCCATGACTCCTCCTTGCATATCTGGACTTGCTTGACCGCCTGGACTTGCCAAGATATTAATAACTAGAGATCATCATAGTGTATGCACCCCCGCACACACATGTGCACACTTTATTCATTAAATCCGCATCTGAAGTGCCCCACCATATTATTCCAAATATCCCTCCCCTTCAGAAATATAATCCTTAGAAAAAGTGCTTTTAGGGGTAATATTTCTGTGAATCATTAGAACACCAGTAGTGATAGTATACCTTCATGATGAGCACTGCTGAGAGGAAACAGTGGTGCCAAAGACTAATATTCTTGACCAGCAGGAAACCTCTCCTGTGAGCACTGGTTCATCACAGCATTGAAACACCACTATTTTTAGAAGCAACAATGCCTTATATATAAAATAAAATCTTATTTTAAGTTTTATTTTGATTAAATTGTGTTACATTTGCTAGTTCGAGTCACCTTCCTTGCAGTAGCTTCCAGTCATCACTTTTCACTTCAGTTTCTGGCTAGAGGTGAAACTTATTACTTTACCCATTCTGTCTCTCTACAGCACCTTTCTGTGAAAAGCACTACCTTGTCTTGCTCCTGCTTTTATTCAGATTCCATCATCTTTAATAGAACACCACTTTTAATTAAGCCGATGATTCTCTGACTTTTTGACATCTAGTTATCTGAATAGTGAGAATGTTGCTGGAGTGCAGATCAATGTCATCCTCAAAGTCAAGAGCA